ACAACTACACATCGGGAAAATGTCCTTCAAACTCTACCCGTACAAACGCATTCTACTCAAGCCACGCAGCGAGACAATAGTTCACGTTACCACTGACCGAAACACAATAGGCATAACACAGAGAGAAGAGACTTCTCCAGGCATCGTTATCGGACATTGTTTAGTGGAACCAGAAAATTTTAGCTGCCCGGTAAGCATCGTTAACACTAACGAAAAGAAAGTAGAGATCCAATTACCACTCGTCACCATAGACGAAATAGTGAAGACCTCAACCGACGCAGAGAGCGCAGAATATATAAATACGGTTATTGCTAAAAGGGGCGGAGAACTTCCTCTCCCGCGAGAAGAACGCATAACCAAACTCTTGCGGACAGAACATCTAAATAAAGAGGAGAAAGAGACATTAATAAACACTTGTGCTGAGTACGCGGATATCTTCCATCTAGAAGGAGACGCGCTGATACACACAACTCGGGTAGAACACAAGGTTGTCACTCAAGTAAACTCACCGAGTGTAAACGTGAGACCGTATCGGTTACCCGAAAAACACAAAGCTGAAGTAAATCGTCAAATCAAAGAAATGCTGCAACAGCAAATAATTCAACCGAGCACCAGCCAGTGGAACGCACCGCTCCTAGTAGTACCAAAGAAAACGGATGCGTCAGGCCAGCCAAAATTAAGAATCGTAATAGACTTCCGCAAGCTAAACGATTTAACCATAGGAGACTCTTTCCCTCTGCCTAACATCACAGACATCTTGGATCAATTAGGCAACGCTAAATACTTCACTACGCTCGATTTGGCATCCGGATATCACCAAATAGCTATGGCCGAGAAGGACAAATGTAAGACCGCATTTTCGCCATACGGACACTACGAATTTAATCGTATGCCGTTCGGACTGAAGAACGCGCCAGTGTCATTCCAACGGCTAATGAACACCATCCTAGTAGGGATGCAAGGGCTCAAATGTCTGGTATACCTAGACGATATAGTAATATACGGCCCAAGCTTGGAAGAACACAACAAAAGACTCGTGCAAGTCTTCCAACGCTTACGAGACAGTAACCTGAAGCTGCAACCAGATAAGTGCGAGTTCCTCCGAAAAGAAGTGATTTACTTGGGACATATTATTACCAAGGACGGAATCTCGCCGGATCCCTCTAAGTTAGATGCCGTAAAACATTTTCCAACCCCTGACAAAGTCAAGGCTATCCAATCTTTCATCGGTTTAGCAGGGTATTACCGAGTTTATAAAAAATTTTTCGAAGATAGCCAAGCCATTGACAAAATTAACAAAGAAGGGAGAAAAATTCGAGTGGACCACCGCGCAACAGAATGCATTCGATCAATTAAAAACAGCATTGACGACTGCTCCCGTATTAAGATATCCCGACTTCGCTGACGAATTCATTGTCACGACCGACGCGTCAGATTACGCTATCGGAGCTATCCTGTCTCAAGGCACGGTAGGTCAAGACCGACCCATCGCATATGCCAGCCGTGTATTATCACGAGCCGAGCAAAACTACAACACCACCGAGAAAGAATTGTTAGCTATCGTATGGGCAGTAAAACACTTCCGCCCATACGTATACGGCACGACATTTAAAATCGTTACAGACCATAAGCCACTGATATGGCTGTTCAACGTAACTGATCCAGGATCCAGACTAATCAGATGGAGACTCAAACTAGAAGAATACGACTATGAAATCATTCACAAATCAGGAAAGGTAATATCAACGCCGACGCATTGAGCCGTTATCCCGCGGAAAATAAAAAACTGATTCATCACGTAAACACCGGAGAAGAAGAAGGAGAAAGAGAACAACGAGAATACTCTGCGGAAGAAAAGGAGCAGATACTGTACGAGTATCACGACGCTCCGTTAGGCGGTCACCAGGGAGTCGCGCGAACACTACACCGCATCAGATTACGACACCACTGGCACGGTCTAAATAAAGACGTCGAGAGTTATATTGCGAAATGCGAATTCTGTCAGAAAAACTAATTAAGACAGAAAACTAAAATGCAATATTACAGACACCCCTACGAGGCCCTTTGAAAAGTGCGCCCTGGATATAGTCGGACCCCTCACCATAACAGCCACGGGAAATAAGTACGCCTTAACCTTTCAAGATAACCTAACCAAATTCAGCAAGGCAATACCGCTCGAGAACCAAGAGGCAAACACGGTAGCGAAAGCATTCGTAACGAAAATAATCCTCGAACATGGAATACCGGAAAAGGTATTAACAGATCAAGGCACTAATTTCACGAGAGAAATCTTTAAGAATACGTGCAAACTACTGAAGATCCACAAGATACAGACGACAGCGTATCATCCAGAGAGCAACGGAGCTCTAGAAAGATCACACAGAACGCTAGCCGAGTACCTACGGCACTATATAAATACGGACCAAACAGACTGGGATGAATGGCTCCCATACGCCATGTTCACATATAACACTACCCCTCATACGGTGACAGGGCTCACACCTTTCGAATTAATGTACGGCCACCAAGCCGTACTGCCTACAGCATTGACAAAACCACCACGACCAACGTATACGTATGACAATTACGTGGAAGAGCTACGCGAAAGGATTCGCGCCGCAAACAAAGTAGCAAGAGAAAATACAAAGGTAGGCAAGGAAAAAGCAAAGACGCAGTACGACAAGAAGACAAAAGAACAAACGTTCAAAGCGGGAGATAAGGTGTTAGTTAAGGACGAAACAGTGCGAAGAGGTCGATCCAAAAAACTGGAACCCCAATGGATCGGACCATACACAGTTATGGAGAAACACAACGAGGTAAATTATTCTGTGAAAATGGGACGTAGGACAATCCGCGTACACGCGAACAGGTTAAAACCATTTATAGAATATTAAACCAAACAGACACTCACCTACTCCCAACCCTCAAAAAATTCCTGATCTTCTTCAACAACCTGAACCTCATCCTCCGACGAAGAAGACGTTTCACCCTCTTCCACCAACTCAACCTCATCATCCACCGGAGCAGAATCCAGCGAGAGAGACGGCACGGGGAAAATCTCTAAACTCCCCGAGGAGACAGAGATGACTTTCGACGATTCCGAAGAGAGGGACAAGTCGCTATTAACGAACACCTCAGACAAGTCGTCTGAGGGACGATCGTCCAAGGAACTCCATTCGGAGTCACTATCAGACATCACCGGATCGTCCGGCAACTCCGGGGACTCCACCATAAGATCTTCGATCTCATACGGCACACGAAACAACATAGTAGCGAGCCGAGAGAATACTAACTAGCCAAAGCATTTAAAAGAAGCAGTACCCCGTGGCAAGTAGAACCACGCATCAAGTAACAAGATAAGATAGAAAGCGAAAACGACGAGAGATACAATTACGAGGAGAAAAGGAAAGACGAGAAAACACTTACTAAGAATCTACGAAGCCGCAGCACGCAAAATGGCCTCGTACCAGGCCATAAATTCGTCCGACGTGGGAAATGTCTCCGCGAGGTCCACCAGCTGAACCCAAGTGAGGGAATTGACACCCCCGAGAGACAGGCCGAGCGAGTCCAGGTGCTCCTCGACCCGACGGGTCACCTGCTCCGTCACACTAGGAACAGAACCCGAAACCACAGGCTCCTCCCCCTCGTCCTTGTCCTCCTCGTCCTCCTCGTCCTCCTCCTCCTCCTCCTCATCGACCTCCATGGCCTCCTGGCCTCGCGCGACATCGACACCGTCGAATTGACGTCGATTCGACATCATTTCGACGTCGATCGACGAATCATTTCTCATTGGGT